TACATCATCAGCCATTACCTCATTCATTATGAAGAAGAACCCGTCTAAGGAGGCCCCTTGCCTCACACTTGACTGTGCATGCGTATCCGAATATTGTCTACTTCCCAAAAATTCAAGGACGGATTAACCCTAGACAATGGAGTGGCTCTACGTGTTCCTACCGGTTGAATGTTTGATCGTCTATCGTCAACATTCAAGAGCGAGCACCACACTCACAACTATACAAGTGCAACATTGACAACCGTGTTGATGTCGCAACGCCCCTACAAACATGCATCAATGGAGTCTCCCACAGTCACCCTACAGTGAAATGTACGCATCTCTTTTAACTAGTTTGGCCTTTTTGGACATAACATCTCCCTGACCAGGAGAACCAGAAACCCATATCAGTTCACTACAACTCAACATATTCACACATCTACACCTCATTTAGAACTATTCGCATCCCAAGCAATGTGAACAGTGCAATTCCATACTCACAGGTAATGACAGCTTCTGAAAAGTTTCATCCAATATGGGGTTTGCAGAAGGTAACGTTGATTGAATCCGCAAGCGAACTTGTGGGAAGATCCAGACCTCAGCAATGCAAATATGCAACAACACAGCTTAAACAGTATTCCAGTTACCCTCACATACCACTCAGTATCCAGCGTTATCCACAAATGTATCAATAATAACTTTGGCGACAAAGGAGTATTCCTCAGAAACCCCCTGCATTCCTTCCACCCACATAACATATGGAGGTTTTTGGTTCAGTGCTATCACCTCAAGTTACAGAACCTGGAACCACATATTCTGCAAAACATCAGCCCCACTCGTGTGCAGTAAGCAAAGGGGATGTTTTCACGTGTAATATGAGACGCAAAATCATGGTACCACGACCAATGTGGTGACTGCATTTACATTGGTGAAACCCAGAAAAGGTCGGCAGATAAGTTCAGGCAAGACTTGAGAGGAGTTACCATCGCCGACCTCACTCAACCAGTCACTGAACATTTAACATCCACAGGACACAGAATCACCGACATACAAAATATAGTATGTGGCTTGTTGACCAACTTCACCAATTGATTCTCCGATACATTGACACCCTGGTCACCCTTACTAAAGAGGTGTTTAATTTAATGGGTTAATGGAGGTGAAATATGTTGATACATGAAATAAAAGATATAAAATAAACACTGACAACGCATTATATTCCTGTGAGAACCTGTGCATATGAACTTTGCCAATGCATCAGGGAATTCTTCAAACGCGGAGTGATTGCATTTCAGTGAACAGTATTCATTGAGTTTATCATCTCCATTCCATTTGACCAACTGCCCTATCTCTACTCTTCGGTTCTTTCGGAGAAGTCACGTAGGTAGAAATAAAGTAAAACAAATCACGACGTTTCGATCGCAACACAAGCGATCTTCATCAGGTGGGACAACCACAGCCAGAAAATGCTGAAGTAGGCGGGAGAGCTGCCGTGGCAAGAGGTTATATAGGTAAGAGAGGGGGGAGGAGGTAAGGGGGGAGAGAGAGAGGGGGGGGCGCGTGAGCGCTCGGGGAAGATGACATGAGGCGGGGGGGCGAGAAGTGGGAAGGTGGTGGAAGAACAGAGAGAGGACGTGAGGCTGGGGGGGGGGGCGTGGGCGGGGCTAGCAGTAAACCGGCAGGTAATGATGGAAACAACAACAGGTTAAGGCATTACCTGGTTGATAACGTCCTTCCAATGATTGTTCAATTTGTATCCATCTCTATCTCTATTATACAGTATTATTCGGGTCATTGTGAAGCTGCCCCAACCCTACCACTACCGTCTACACCCACCACGACCTCTGCTGCGCCAGCTCACTCCCCCCCCAACCTCCCACAACCCCCACCTTTAACCCAAAACATCCCAACTCTGTGTCCAGAGAAAGGGGCCGGGCCTAAACACAAAGAGGCGGGGTCTAAATAATATGGGACGGGCCCTAATCAGGGCAGGTGGAGATCCTAATGAGTAAGGGGCCAGGGGCCAAACCATAAATAGGGGGGGGGGGAGGGGCTAGCCATAAAGAAGCGAGGCCTATAGAGGAAGGAACAGGGTCCTAAAAAGGAAAGGCACCGAGCCGAAAGAGCAAGATAACAGGGCCTCAACAGGAAGGGATGGGGACTAAGGAGCAAAGGGGTGGGGCATAATAAATAAGAAGGTGGAGTCTAAGGGGAAAGGTGCGGGACCTTCAGGGTTTGAACTTACATAATGATTTAAGGTAATAGAAGCATAGAATCGAATACGTGCATCAGGTAGCAAGCATATATTTTGTGCCGCAGATGCAGCGAAAGGCCAACTAGTATACGTAGTTTAAACTGACTAGTTGTGAGATACATCACATTATTTATTTCTCTGAACTAAATGAGCAAAAACCATGTAATATTTTTTTTATTAACTGTTATCCTTGTGATAAACATTTTGGGTGTACATTACATCAAGTACTCTATAAAGTCATGTCATGAGGATTTTGAATTATCCATGTTATATTATACAGGGTGTTTAAAAAAGATGGGCCCGATTTGAAATCTCTACAACCACCCGCCCACGAATGAAACTCTTACCACTTGAAAGGGCGGGGCATAGCGTTTCAAATGATTACCGCTAGATGCCTCCTACCAGCGCACAAACAGCCCCTAGCCTCAGTCATTCGCAAGACACATTGCCTCAACGTTGGATAGGTCGCACGGGACCCCAAGAGTTTGTGCTACATTCTTGGCCCCCAAGATCCCCAGACATCACGACACCCTGCGACTTTTTCTTGTGGGGATACGTCAAAGGCCGTGTTTTTGTGCCACCATTAGCGACTAATCTGGATGACCTCAAAAACAGAATCACGGCAGCGTGTTACTGGGTCAATATGTTTGATGCACAGGAGGCATGTCTGTGTACTGTACTATATAATGTCACCTTTTATGGAATGCTCGATACATAAGTCAGTCACCTGTGCGAGAATGAACATGTGGCGCTTCTCTCCACCTGAGCGGAGAAGGGGAAAAAAAATAAACAATACCATTTTCACGACGTTTCGACTGCAACACAAGGTTATGGGTATGCACCAGTGCTACTGTGAGCATCTATTTGAGGCTGAGTTGACCTAGAGGAGACTTAGGATAGGTGCCACTGGTGTTTGGCACAACCAGGAACAAAACTCGGGTAATTGCTGGGTTAATGTGCAGCACAGTGAATGACCCATTACAGCATCACCTTCTCATCGTGCTAACGCTCGTCTGCTATACAGCTACTGGGACACGTCCTGTGTTCTCCATGCTGCTGTGTCCGGTATCTCTGTCTCTGTGTTCCTTTGTCGACAAAGGCTTCCCTCCACCCGATGATGATGCGGCTTTAAACCGCCTGCGGAGTCGCATACACACCCTGACTGAATCGACCACGAGGCTGTGTGAGCAATCCGCTTCTCGTGTTGTGCACAATATCTGTTGACTCTACCGTAGCCGGTGAGGTTTCAACATTTTCAAGAGGTGATGTCACCTTGCTTTTTTTAGCACCTGTGTGTGACTGCCACAGCGAGCAGGGCGGTCCCCACCCCCACCCCACCCCCACCCTGTGCCTTGCGGCTCAAGCTGTGAACACAACCGCAAAAATAGTTTCATTCATTTTGGCCGATTCGAACCGGTGACGACCAGAGACACAAGTTGTCACTGGTGATGACGCGTGTGAGAGGGAAACCACCCGGGCCACAGTCCATGGGCTAGAGCAGACATCGATACCACCTAAAGGTAGCAGAACCTCAATCGTACCGCTTTGTTCATACTGCTAATATTTGTTAACCTACTTAATCGTCTTCTTTCATATGGCAGGATGGACTCATTAACAATGGATATCACACAATTCACTCTCATTGGTCATATCAAGAAATCGGGACTGCTAAAGTTATGCCGACCAGGTGGATACGTGGTAGAACCATCGGAAGGTTGCGAGTTCATATTTTGTTTGGGGGATAACTCACCGTGTCACCCCTCAGGTGTCACGAAATAAGTATCCAAGTACCCAAGCAACACAACGACGATAATATGATTTGCGAGAGTACAGGACCACGTTTTGGATCGACTGATCTCCGTAATAGGAATGCGGAATTTCCACCTCTGGCTCAGGGCTATAAACAGAAAATGAGCACCGCTTCAATGCCCGTTTGACTTTTGAAAGTGATGTCAACTCTGGTGGTAGCGACAAGCGAAATAAATGTTTGCCTTCGACTGGTGGACCACCACGCGCCTTATTTGGGCACGCACGCTTCCGACTGCGATTTGCCTGAAACTCACTGTTGTGATCTCCCCCCTCCCCACACACACCTTGCCGCAGCGGTGATGTCACGACGTGAGCCATGAGTGATGGATTATTGATTACAGAGGTGACTAAAGACCCGAGAACCGGTGACTCCACGAAACGATAACAGCAGAAGTGGCTCAGCAGCAGCATGCCACCATACCAGTGACAGACAACGCCACATTTTTATGGTGAAGACCAGCCCCCTCCATGAGAACAAGCACTGTTTGGGACGTTGATGAAAAATATAGGGTAAAAAACTGAAAAGTGCGCAAATAACCATGGAAAGTTCCACGCTTGGAATTTTAATCGATAATTTTTTGGCGAGAATGCGCAGGTTAGAGACGCCATTCTGTTCAGAAAAGTAATTGAGCTTGAGAGGGATGACGAGGAACGGAACAACGTGCCCGAGAGGACGTCACCCCGAGGAGATGGAGCGTATATACAGATGATCGGTGGATCGTTACATCGCAGGATCGCGAGAGACGGCGGCCGATTAGGGAGGCCTTCATCCAACAGTGGATTGACCATGGCTAACGACGACGATGACGATGATGTCGTGAGTCATGGAACCACCACGCAGGAACAACAGCGAGGTGGGGTGGAGGGCCCCCAGGTGCGCGGATGGGGGGGGAGGGGGAAGGGGCGATGACGTCACGCCCCGCCCACTTCCACCCCGCGCCTATAAATAGGAGGGAGTCGTGAGTGGGTGGGGGTCGCAGGTGCATTCAGTCGCAGCTGCTCGTGGTGCCAACGCGGTGCCTCTCTCTGTGTGTGTGTCGCAGCTTCCCCAGCGTCGCGCTCTGTCGCCGGGATTAGTGAGAGGCCGGGAACCCAAGAGGGCTGTCGAGACGACCGGTGAGTGAGTGGGAGGGAGCGAGCGATGGCTCTGCGTGGGTCTCCGTGTGCGTGGGTCTCCGTCTCCGTGGGGAGCGGTGGCGCAGTGGTGGGTCTTGCGCTCCGCTACGAACGCGGTGGTCACCGTTCGATTATCGTTCGCGGCTAATAATCGGCGATTATCACAACCAGTTCCGAGCCCTCTCCGAGGTCGACTCGGCCATGAGCAGCACCTGGTGCCATGTTTAAACCAACCAACACTACTGGGGAGACAAAGGCGGCCGTGCGGATTTCTGGCCAAACCACTTTATTGTGAAATTTCGATTTAAAGCTTTCGTGACTGCAGGGATTCCTCTTCTTGGTTCTTTCGGTAAAGTCACGTAGAATGGAAATAATAAAATAATAAAAATGTTGTCATTTTATTATTTCCATTCTACGTCACTTTATTGTAGTAGCGACGCTCCGCTCCTTGATAAACGCTTCTTCAACCAGCAGCTTGTGTCAAGTCACAGCGAGGGATGTTCTGTGCGTGTGCGCGCGATTCCCGGTGGCCGCTAGCGACTGCAGGTGGTGGTGGAGTTTGCCTGCAGTGAACACGAACGCGGTGCCGCTTGGGGGGAGACGGAGGCGGCCAGAGGGGGGGGCTTTGATGCGGCCAACAGCCCCCCCCCCCCGTGTTGTGCGTGCGGTCGAGCTGCTGCTGCTGCGGGTCGGGGGGGGGGGGCACTTGGCGGGGGGCAGGAGGAACCTATGGGGGTGCAGGTGGTTTGGTTTGGGGGGGGGGCTATGGGAATGTGTTAGGATGTTGAAACGCGTGGGGGTGCAGGTGGTTTGGTTTGGGGGGGGGCTATGGGAATGTGTTAGGATGTTGAAACGCGTGGGGGTGCAGGTGGTTTGGTTTGGGGGGGGCTATGGGAATGTGTTAGGATGTTGAAACGCGTGGGGGTGCAGGTGGTTTGGTTTGGGGGGGGCTATGGGAATGTGTTAGGATTGTTGAAATCCGGGGGTGCAGGTGGTTTAGTGGGGGGGAGCTATGGGAATGTGTTAGGTTGTTGAAATCCGGGGGTGCAGGTGGTTTGGTGGGGGGGGGGGGGGCTATGGGAATGTGTTAGGTTGTTGAAACGCGTGGGGGTGCAGGTGGTTTGGTTTGGGGGGGGGCTATGGGAATGTGTTAGGATTGTTGAAATCCGGGGGTGCAGGTGGTTTGGTTTGGGGGGGGCTATGGGAATGTGTTAGGTTGTTGAAACGCGTGGGGGTGCAGGTGGTTTGGTTTGGGGGGGGCTATGGGAATGTGTTAGGATTGTTGAAATCCGGGGGTGCAGGTGGTTTGGTGGGGGGGAGCTATGGGAATGTGTTAGGTTGTTGAAATCCGGGGGTGCAGGTGGTTTGGTGGGGGGGGGGGGGGCTATGGGAATGTATTAGGATGTTGAAACGCGTGGGGGTGCAGGTGGTTTGATTTGGGGGGGGGGGGGGCTATGGGAATGTGTTAGGATGTTGAAATCCGGGGGTGCAGGTGGTTTGGTTTGGGGGGGGGGGGGTATGGGAATGTGTTAGGATTGTTGAAATCCGGGGGTGCATGTGGTTTGGTTTGGGGGGGGGTATGGGAATGTGTTTGGCAGGAGGAACCCGTGGGGGGCTGCAGGTGGTTCGGTGTGGGGTGGGGGGTATGGGAATGTGTTAGGTTGTTGAAACGCGTGGGGGTGCAGGTGGTTTGGTGGGGGGGGGGGGTATGGGAATGTGTTATCACGCAGGAGGAACCTGTGTGATTGCCGGTGGTTTGGTCTGGGGGGTGGGGTATGGGAATGTGTTCGGCAGGAGGAACCCGGGGGGTGCAGACGGTTTGGTGTGGGTGGGGATAGGTGTCGGCATGGTGAACTGGGGGGGGGGGGGGGGGCAGGGAAAATAGCGTAATCATCGGAAAATGTGGGTGCTCAAAGTCAGGTCGGGCAGGAGGATAGGAGGGAAAAGGTGTAGCCGGGTAGGAGTTTGAGAGGGGTGGTGGTGGTGGTATGGCGTTAAGGGGAACCGGGCAGGTGACGCCTAACCGGGTTTGCGTGTCAAGGAAGAGGAAACACATTGCAGGTGCTGCGTGTCCAACCACTTTGCGGTGTTCATGAAGAACCCGTCGCGACATTTGCTGACAACTTCCTCCTCCGAAACTACCAGGCGTTTGTGAAATTACATTCTCGCTGATTGAATCGCGTGGAATGATCCTCCTCTCGCAGCCCCCCACGCATTTTTTTATTACATTGTATCCACTGTACTCTATCGACCTCGCGTTGTTATAATGTATCGAGACGTCGTGTGGAGGAGGCTGTTGCCCTTGGAGCGCGAGAATCGCTCTCTTGTTTCGAGCCTCTGCAACGTTTTTACATCTCAAAGGTGCTCTCAATGGGACTTCCACCCCCCCCCCCCAGCGATTGAGTGGGGAGCGCATTTAATAAATGTGCGAGATGTCTGTGCAATTCGACCTGCTGCACTATATTGTTGTTGGTGCATCAGTCGGTCATCTCAGTCGGTCAACCCATGCAAGGGACCTGGGTCTTCCACCATTGTTGCCAGATAGAAAGGGTAAAAAAACAATTATCATATTTTTTACTGGCAAATGAGGTTCCAATGGTGGAAATGCTTACCCCGAGCTCTCATACTCTGATGTCTGTGCAATTCGACCTGCTGCACTATATTGTTGTTGGTGCATCAGTCGGTCATCTCAGTCGGTCAACCCATGCAAGGGACCTGGGTCTTCCACCATTGTTGCCAGATAGAAAGGGTAAAAAAACAATTATCATATTTTTTACTGGCAAATGAGGTTCCAATGGTGGAAATGCTTACCCCGAGCTCTCATACTCTGATGGTGCATTGTCTTTGAGTTGTGCGCCTTTTGGCGTCATCTGGTCCAACCCATGTGAGACTAGGCTCTAAGGAAAGCTGTCTCGGGTGTGGACCAATCAACTTCAAGGACAGTGCACATTATCAGAGTTATGTTCTTTTGTTTGTATTATGACTGCAGGTATTGTGGTCTATGCAAACATGACTCCTTGTATAAAAAAGGTGTCAGTTTTGTTGCCAGATAGAAGGGTAAAAAAACAATTACCGACCTGGGTCTTGTTCCTTCACCTTATGTCAGCTTCTCGTTCGACCCTTCACGTGGAGACACCGCCATTGATTAACTAAAGGCGGCTGTTGCTATATTATTATTAGTAGTATTAATATTGTATTATGACGTTTGCCCAGGAAATCCTTGAGTCTCTAATTTTCACAAGGGGTTTGCCAAGTTATCACAGTCGTGGAGGGAGTGTTGCATATTTATAATCCCAATTCAGTAACGTTTCGTCATTGGGATGTTTGGCCAATACCAATTACTGTTTATATATATTTTAATTGTTATGGGAGGAAACTGGAGAACCCAGAACACGCAGAACCAGGGAAGAACACAACTCCTCAAAGGCTGTCCTGGAAATTGAACCTCTGTCTGTGAGGCACCAGTTCCTACCACACCATGCCAACAACCTGTGTAGAAGCAACTAGCAAAGCAAAATAAGAAAATAATTGTAGAAGGAACTATTCGGGTAGTGTACTCTGTGCAAATGTTTGATCGAAAGTAACACGGTACAACGACTAGAACCCAAACCGTAGTTAAGTTGTAGGTGTTGTGCACCGCAGCAGCAGGGCGTCGTAGTAACATTTCACCTTCGTTTGGACGCCCACCGTCCTTTAACAAAGGTTGAGAGCTCATTGCCATGCCCTCTCAGTTTGGCGGGTGCTACTGGTCATATAAACTATAAAGCACGGTTACATATTCATTTTCAACGCGTTTAAACTGCAATTTAGTTTTTTTTTGTAAAACCCAATCCTGTTGTTGGAATTTGGTCGCCTACGAAATTGCATTTTCTGTGAGGTTGTAGAGACACGTGCTTGTTGGGTAGCACATGGCGTGGTGGATGGTGACGGAAAACGAGATGCTTGGTGAATGATTATGATTCCGAGTGAATTAATTAGTTAATCATTTCAGTTTAGATGTTAAGTTTTCGTGACTGCAATGTTCCATACTCTTTAGTTATTTCGATAAAGTCACGTAGGTATAAAATACAATAAAAAATAATCTAAAATAAATTAAATCACTATCAATTTATTTTTGATTATTTTTATTTTATACCTACGTGACTTTACCGAAAGAACTAAAGAGTTTGAATCATTTCACGTGAGAATGCCAATGGTCGTTTGAAAATATCAGAGCCGTTTTTACACTTGTGATGTCTCATTACAGCTGTTACTCGTCGTGTTTTGAAGCCTTGTGATGAATATTTTTTCGTAACGCCGCCTTTCACGGGTTTAATAACCTTCGCGTCCTCTGACGATCCCGCCAGTGTGAAAGCTGCTGCTCTGCCTGCCAAGTTTGTGTGTTTCTGACGTAACATTTCTCTTTAGGGAAACTTCCAAACACTTAAAATCAAAACCGTGACTTAATCTTGGCGCACGGAGCTTAATGCTCACGGCATTGCCCACGCAACATGTTTTTTTTTTATGTAGCTGTGAATATCTTCGGTGAAAGCATCTCGTTTTCAGACTCTCATCTATAATGTAGATTGGGTTACTCAATGCAATCTCCAGGAGTGATGGCTTGGACATGCCTTAAGCCAACCGTAGATAGATCATAGCCGATGACGGCAAATCATGGAGCCAATGTGTGTAGCATTTGACCTTATGCATCTCTTAACGTCTGTCTGCCATGTGTTTAATACATCGGCTGGGTTTGTAGCTTGTTGGGCGTTCCCTTTGAGTATAAAATACTCTACTGTATGTATAATATACCTTGTGTATTATATAGCATATGAACAAACTTTTCATCAGTTTAACACACGTAGGCTTTCGCGACCAATATCATTCATAATACAGGTTTTTTTGGGTTAGTTCGCGTAAATATATAAATGTGTCGTTAAACCCACCACCAACCCGGCTTGCATAATGCGCATGCATACGTTGATTACCATTTAAATAACCCAACCGGCAATGTATACCCATTGTCTTTTATATGCATTCATGAATCCCCCCCCCCCCACTTCGCTCAAGAAGGACTCACAAATAATGCCATCACATCTACCCCTCTATTTAAGGAACGAAACAGGAGGATTTCTCCACAAATCTAGCTGTCGCCTGATGAAGCTAGTTGTAATTACTGGCGAAACGTCATCATAATGTAAATGTTGTGGCTTTGCTCTCCAACACAACTGTGTGCTGTACTCGTGACGAATTGCCATGTTATGTTTAAGTGACAAACCTTACTAATTGGCTGTGTCGGGTAGTGGTGGGTTTAAGGACATATATTTACACGATTTAATCCAAAAAAACTGTATTCTTTGGGGGTATCACAGTATTTCTATTTTAGCTATATCTTCCACAATCGAGTAGTTTTTTGTAAATTTACAATTTTATGGAACGTTTTCAGGCAATAGTCCGTTGAGATAACAATTGTGAGTTGCCCGGGCCCTCATTCTGAAGGAGTCCAGTGCAGGGCAGTGGATAGGTCAGTTTGTGCCCTTTGTGGCATTGAACACTTGGACCCTGGAAAGAAGGCTCGTAAGATGTCCACCAACGGCTCCGCCCATGTGCCCCCTTGCGCCTTTGTCTCCAAATTCTTGACCAACCGGTTCTGATTCTATCCGCCTCTCGGTCAGGGCACTTTATTCTCTTCATTGGCTTTCATTTTATCGCATTGTTCCTTTCTAAAGTCACGTAATTACAGTACAACCCTCGTTTTGTCTCGCTAAACGTAACCTTTGATCAAATTACCATATCCCAGCCCTCCTGGGCTGGCCACTGCCCTTGAATAGATTAGCGCCTTCCCTGGGTCTTTGGTGTTTGTAAAATGGGATGGCGATTTGCATCCAGTATGACGGGGAGAAGCATTGTCCCCTGAGTGGTACAGTGATGGCCACACGGCTCGTGTTGGTGCTCTACGTGGGTGTCGTGTTTCCAGTGACACGCAACGTTAATGGGCTTGCACGAGCTGCTACCCTACTATGATTATGAATGCTTGCTATTTACTGTGAAGTATCTCATGCTTTGCATATACATGTTCAATGAGTGTAATGCACCATTACCAGACTAGTTCCTGTTGTAGGACGTGCTAAGGAAGTACAGTGGCATTTCTATGATCTGTTAATCTCCTCCATCTTGCGAATGAAATTTGATTGGGTTCTCATCCTATTTACTGACTGTTCATCCTCTTAGCTCTGATGTGCTGTGTGTTTCTGGTTTTCACTTTCTTTATTGGCAAATCGGACGAGTAGTACATTTATTTAATATTGCAATGCTGACTCGGGTTGATTTGGGATATTTTTCCTGCTGATTGTAGAGCACTTGTTTGGCTGACGTTATCCTTGGAAATACACAGGGACAGCAAAATGAACATTTCGTTATGAAGTCAGAAGTCAACTGTTAAGAAAAACGAGTGGGTATCTTGGTAAGGACAAGGGATGATAGCCAGTAATCAAGACTAATGATAGCCACCTAAGCTGGGTGAGATTACATCTTATCGGGCGATTTAGTGAAAGTCGGGAGTGATGGATTGTTGGATCACACGACTGTCAGATGTCGATGGACTGTGGGAGGCCTTTATCTTGCAGTGACTTAACGTTGATGATCTTACTTCAAGTATTACCTACAGTATAAGTATTAGCTCGGGAATCCCTTAATTTATACGAGGCTCCCCTTACGACACTGGCCTGCTAACGTGTTATGAGCCTTAGGGACAGATGGTAAAGGCTTGACCATGGCATGCTCGTGTCAAGTATGGCCATTTGTAGATAACTAAATTCTGCTTGTAGATCAATGAATTACATAACAGATCGAACGACCTTTGCATCGATAATTAATTGTCTGTTACTGTCTATTGTTTTTATCTCTCTTAAACCCTGATGGGGTGTAATCTGCTTCCATATTGTCTGCTTACAAGGAGCCCTCGGGGTTTTATCCACACGCTGATAATTTGTTGTTGTTGCTGGCAGATCTCAACCAACATTTGGGCTTCCTCGAGCGCTTGTTACATAGCAGAAATTAAGAACTGTGTTTTATGAATTCTAAATACAGCTAGTGTTTTTATTATTGCTGGACAAGAACACATTCTAAGATGAGGCAGGTTGAAGATGAAATAATAAAATATTTGGTACCGCGACATGGGAAGTCTTAGATTCAAGAGTCTCGGCGTGTTAGGAGTGCCAGCTGGCACGGTTATTGTTGTGTGGCGATGTCTATTGGATCATTTCCAAGCCGGGTTTGTCTTCCTATTATGTGGTTGCGGGTATAGAATTTCATTTAGTTTATTCGTCATTGTTTCATTATTATTAGCTTTGACCATAAGATTTGAGAGGACAAATCCAACTCAGGATTCAAAACCCTCATTATGTTGTGAAAAATCAATGCTCCAGAGGCTGGCCCTGCCATACATAAGATTATGGAATCTCTACAGTGAACTTAGTTCAGTCTCTTGTAGAGTAATATAGTGATGCAATCCAAGATTATGGTATATTACTAAGACTTACTAGAAATGTTCTCTGCAGACATCTCCCTTTGTCACGTTGTGGTCTGCAAGGCCTTGGGACGTGGCCCACATAACTATTACAGATGTTGTGATTTATTTAGCTAAACCCCACGATTTTTGCTACCCATTGCATTACTAGTAGTGTCAACCATCTTAATGAAAGTCCATAAAAAGCACGTTAATAGTTTGTTAAATTGTTATTAATATTTTACAGTGCTTTCTGAATACAGTAGTTTCAATGTTTTCAAAAAAAAACATGCTATTTGTGCATGGTTTGAAAAAAAATGTTGAGGGGTTGACTGTTGTGCCTGGGTCAATGTTGGGAACCACAGGCCTAGAGTGAGCGTGTTGGTTCAACATAGGTGCTGCAGAAACATAGGCGGCTTACAAATGCTATTGGCCATAATGGGTGTGATGACCTTGGTTGCTGGAAGTGTTTTGAAGGTTGGTTGAAAGATATTTGGCTCTGTGGCTGAAGCAGGAAATGTAAGGTGGATTTTTTCATTTGACTTTGCATTTGGTTCCAGGCGAATACTGGCTTCGTGTCTGTCCTACTTGATTGCATTGTAAATTCCTAAATGTTGATGTATATGATTTAAATACAGTAGAACAGAGCTATTGGTAATCAATGATTGCTATCCTCAATGCCAGAATATCGATTATTTTTTTAGCGTGATGATGATGTGCTGATTTGGACCTAATTCCGGATTGTATAGATGAAAATAAATGTCACTCAACCACAGGAGACAACATTGTCCTTCTACTGCATCTTACCATGTTGTGACTTCATACGTGTGCTATTCAAAAATGCCTTCTCAGCATTTGTTGGCTTAATTATTAGTTTGTAAAAAAAAATTATGGATTATTTTTCAATGGAAAATACCAACCAAGGGTTTTCAGGAAATTGTCCTCTTTAATACAACTTTTGACCAGATCACCTTGGCGAGGATCTTCTGATATACCTTCAATCTACATATAATGCAACTCCAAAATTATAAACATATTAGATTCCAAAGCAAGAGGTAGAATTAATGTATTCGACCATTGGCTTTAAATCCCAAAAAAGTTGCTTCTTTTTTTTCTCTATGTTAAAGTTCACTAAAATGTACCGTTGCATCTTGGAACATACATCGAGTTGAAGGTTAAGTAGTGTCCATAGTTTTTGAGCATGTTTGGAATGTTATAGAAATAACTGACACTGCTTACGTTTTTTTTCCTGTGATCTGGGTAACTTAAAGCTATCATTCTTTCAGTTGTACATAATAGCTAGCATTGTCTTAATATGTGCACACAAGGCCGGAAATCATTTAGCTTTACAATTTGCCATCATTGGTAAAGTGAAACGTCGGCAAGCAGACAGGACCATTTATAAACGTGTAAATGTGTTTGTTTCTCAATCCGCTTGTCCTGGTGATGGTCACTTGAATGTGACCATCTGTTTCCCACGCTGCGGTTGTACGAAATCAAAACTGTTCCCTCCCGAGGTTGTCGACCCCAAGAGATTGAGCAACTTTGTACCTACATTTATTCCTGTTCTTATTCTCCAGGAAATTGTGGGGCTTTGTGCTCTCCATATGCATCACATTTCATGTCCCTCTCAAATTTTTGTCAGCATATTTTCTTTACTTCCAATGTTCACTGTGCAATACCCAACGGTTTGCAATTGCCCCCCTTGTTATAGTCAAACCAGTTACAACCAGTCTGGATGTTTCCCATTCCAGAACCACATTTTTCATGTTTACTCATCGAAGGCTATCTGTCTGCACGAACTCGTAATCTCCTTGTACGATACTTATGTGAAAAGCACATGGGTACATGATAGTCGCAGTTTTTGTGGAATGCATCTAATGTAGGTGAAACAAGATGCACAAATAATGAACCTAAGGCATTGCTACATACATTCTGCTCGCACACGGGTGTCATTGGCACTTGCAAATTGTATGTACATGGGTTCAATTCTAGCTCTTTTTTTCAAAATGTAAATGCATCTTCGGATCAGACTTATGGCACAATAAAAGTGTTTACCCCTGTAGATCCTCACCCTATCCATGCTCACGAGAAGTGTGTACATTGTGCTTGAACTTGTTTTACTATTGGCTGTGTCCATCGGTCACCAGTTGATGTGTTTTTTGTTGTATTAGCAACGGAGCAATTGAACAAAGGTTCCCTGCAATGTGCACATTTGTTGGGTATGACTAGGATATTGTGCAACTTGGATGAACATTTTGCACAAAACTAAATATTTTCTGTGGTGAAATTTTAAGCACCACGACATGATTTGCTTGGTGTTTGTGCAGTGGGTTTACAAACTTTTCCAACTGGACCTTTCAAGTGAAGGGACTAGTATTGACTTAAAATGTTAAGGTTTCAAGAATACTGCCCTGATGAGCCTTGAACTGGTCAACCTTGAGTTGCTCAACTTCACTCCTTTCATACACTTTTTTCTTTCCACAGACATTCTTGAAGACGAATAACTGCTGAAATAAAAAAGCGACCACATCGGCAGTGGGAGTTTGAATCTCTCAAGGAGAGTTCTTGTTGAGTTGAGTGACCGCTGTGAAGAGACAAGCGAGGATGGCCAACTCGGGGCTGCAGATGCTGGGCTACGCGCTGGGGATGTGCGGATGGATCGCCATCATCGCCGCCACGGCACTGCCGCAGTGGAAGACGAGTGCCTACGCCGGCGAGGTCATCATCACGGCCGTGAGCATCTACGAGGGGCTCTTCATGAGCTGCGCCTCGCAGAGCACGGGCCAGATCCAGTGCAAGGTGTTCGACTCTCTCCTCGCGCTGCCCAGTGAGTGCTCGCACATACGGGGGGACGCCCTTTGTAGGGAGCGCAGTACTTCGTCGTGGTGATGGTTGCATCACTGTCTCTACCAAGGGGTTGTCATTCGTAAGGTGTTGTCACTCGTTGCTCAATGTGGATTTGACAGGTTTATAACAAAATGTGTCAATCACAAGACCAACTTGCAAGGTGTGGTGTAGTGATTCAAAATCAGTGCTGACTTTTAGGTGTGGCATTGTGTTTTAAAGTAGTTATGGATTTTTCCATATTTAAAAAAAAATTCCTGAGTGAAATAGGGAGTGAAGTAGGTTTTGCCACATTGAGGGGGGTGCTTTCTTTACCAAACCATCCCATGTACTAACGAGTTAAATACACGATCTGTCTATCTGAAGGTGGCACGAGGATGATTATCCAAACTGTGTGCCGCCTGTGCCCCCAAATGATTCACCACCACGAGGCCTGTGGAAATTCACCTGCTTTATGACTCGATAATTTGTCACGATTTTCGGTGCCAATTCAGGAATCCGTTTTTTTTCCTGCCATCCTAGGGGAAAGCAGGGTTTGTGCAAAACCCTGCCGCACAATCGCGTAGTACACAAATTGAACACTTGAATGCATGTGTCGTGAGCGCAGTGATTTTAATGCATTGTTTTCTTACTGATGCCACATCTAAGTCACTGGATTACAGCTGTGTGCCACCACACGCCAAATCTATTAAGAAACCCGAAAACACTACAAGAATATTCTGAGACTCATTTTGTTATTTTGTGGATCCTGCCATAACAAGTTTCCCGTGGTTTAGAATGCCACACTCTGCTGGGAATTGGTTGAAGTCTATGCTTGGCTAGAGGCATTCTTGATTAAAACACATGCTACGGGTAAACTGTAAACTGGAATGCCCATAAGCTGATGGATTAAATGTTACTTCATGAAAGCATATTAGCAAAGCCCCGTTGCCTACTTATTTATTACTGTTGCAATGATTTGCAGAATTACAATTTTTTTTCAAATTTTGACCCTAAAAGCTTGCAACTTTATCATTACATGCTGCCTTAATTGTACCCATTGATCCTGCAACATCTTTGTGTTTGCAGAATGGCTTGAATTGCAGATAAGTACTTATTCTCTGTGATTTTTACGTGCATATCTTATATCATTGCTGTCTGTGTGAAAATTATCAGGTGTCAATGCTGAGCCTCGAATATACGAAGTTTCAGTTTATTTGCTTAACTAAGTGTGATCTCAAGAGACCAGAATGGTCTCATTTACAAGGGTGACATGGGAAGCATGCGATGCGACTAATGGCACGTACGCATGTAGCAGTCAACCTCGTGATAAGCCTAAGTCCAATACAACAGACGTCTTGTTTTGGGTGTCTTGTTGATTCGTCCAATTAGGATTGAGCTCTGGAATGTCCACCCCCGCTGCTTAGGGATGATGTCCCCCCGGCCCTGTCCTTGGGTTTGACTCTGTAGCTCTCGTATTCAAGGCATGAGAGCGCATGCAAGAGGTGCTCGTTGGTGCGTCCTTGAGTGATATCTAAGAAAAAACACGTCGATGCTAAAAAAATACCTGCAGATTACACAGCAACATTGCCCCCTACTCCAGAAATGTTGCTGTGAAAAAAAGAGCCTTGAGACATGTAATGCTTTGGATTAGCAAGTGTAATAATACTATTGCTGGGTCGTTCCGGTGTCTTAAAATGCATCTGCATACTCTTTGGTTCTTTCGGTAAAGTCACGTAGGTATCAAATAAATCACTATGTTTCAGGCGCAACACAAGCGTCCGTCATCAGGTGGGGAAAGCATGGTGTGCTGCTGAGGCAGACTGTTTTAAAAGGTTTGAAATGGGTGTAGCCCAAGGGTCATAAAGAAGTGGTCAGGGCTAGTGATGTTAGTGTGAGAAATTAGCATGTAACTGTAAGATGGGAGGAGAGCGGCATCCTGGACGCGGGCACGGAAGTGGCTATGTTAATGTGAGCGATTAGCATGTTAATGTGAAATCGAAGAGTGGTGCAATCCAAAGGCATGAGTGCAACCCAACGGGTGCAATCCAAAGGGCATGCGAGTATGAGAGTGCATCTGCATGTTTAAACAAGCATCGGGGGCTGTGCTTCCCTCGCTCAGTGGTGCTGTTGTTCACAATGGAAGTTACACATTTCATTGCCAGGTGTGTCATTCTTTCTACAAGATGGCCAATGTTGACTCAAAAAATTGTATTCATTTTAACAACCTCAGTGATTATTAGCTTGGTGATCCCTTACTGGAATTTTAACTCTCAACTCTCTGAGAAGGCAAGTGCCCTACCAACGAGTCACTTGGTCAGATCAGGAAACATTCTCACTAATCCGAGAAGACATGTTGCGCAGATGCATCCTTGAGCACCTAATGTTTTAAGTGTGCAGTTGCAAACCCTGATTTTATGAACACAAGTTAATACAATTCATGTACGTGTAGAGGAGTATTGCGAGTAACCAATGAGGGGGGCGGGCAGAGGGAGGTGCGAGCGGGTTGCCAATCAAGAATGACGTAACGTCACTTCCAGTCCACTATTAACCTTCGGGAACATGGGCGGAGCCGAGCTGGGGGGGGAGGAGCTGCCCCAAAGGGTTCTTAAGGGGGGCCGTGACGGAGGTGGGGGTGTCGTAGGGAGCCTGGGTAAGGATCAGCTGGGAGAGGATCTCTCCCCCTCGGAGCGGTGTTGGCTGAACCCCCGTTCTGCATGGACGAGTGAGAGCCCATAGGCTAGCCGAGTGTGGGACCCAAATAGTATTCAGTGTCCGGGGTAAAGGACCGTGAGAGAGTGCACCTAAATTGGTGTGAGCATAGGATGTCGAGTGTAGCAGTGTTTTAATAAATGGCAACAGCCCTTATAGAATTCCTCATCTCCGCTTAGTTCTACTGCGCTACATGTGCATACAAGTTTATTTGTATTGTTGCGCTGAGTTGATAAGTTTTATTTTTATGATTGAAGAAATTAAGGTTTTCATATTAAAGTGTATCCATGATATGAGAAGTCGCATTGGTCATACAGTATTGTATACAAGATGCTAAAGGTGCTCATTGCGTGCAGTTTTGTCTTCAAATATTACATCATGTACTGTTAAACATTATTGCTTTGCGTTAAATTTTATGGTGTCCCGTGTTGCAACGGTTGTGCATGACACTTCGCTGTTCCATCCAATCCTAACACATTTTAAACCACATACAGGGCAGGGTATACGCAGCCAACCCAACTCCGTGACATCCCTTCCTTCATATAGATGTTCCAGTCCACTTCCAGTCCACAATTAGCAGAAAATAAATTACAATTACAACCTACTTCATATATTTATTGCAAATCTCTTCTGTACTTGTGTTATTCATTCATATATAGTGATGAAGATCAAGACGGTTTGAATTTCTATTGACCCTTTTGCCACTTGTAGAACTGCTTAATCCGAGCTTTTAATGCTTCGGCATTCAAGACTCCATCATGATTGTACCGTTTGCCTTTTTTGGGGGTCTTTGCTCCAACACCGTTGAGCCAAAGCCATAAAAAAGGCTGTCCCCCTGGTGCAGGCCAGTAAGTTAAGGACTGGATACATAATTACCAAAGCATATTTGTTTACAATTTCTACCACAAGTATGTGTGTTCAATGTAGACTTGATGCCTTTTAATAGGTGTGTATTTTGTGTTTGAACATCTTTTAATGCCTGTTTATGCCACGGATTTCATTATTAAACCGGCACACTTTGCCACTACGAAGCCAGCTTCTGCAATGTTCTTTGCTTTTCACAGTCCAATCAAACACGTGACAAAGGCATTAGCATTCTCATGTCACAAAAATTGGTTTTGAAATGTGTTGCACATTGTGATCCTTAATGCGACCGTTGTTTCCAGTTACAGCCCAAGATAAATTGTCCCAGCCTTATTACCAAGTGAAATGATGCCCGCATGCATTATACCTGCAATATAGTGTTGTTCGCATGCAATAAGTTAAAAGTGCAGACATTTATTCACGTTTGTACATTGACGTGTTTTAAAAATGCAAATGTGGAGGCAACTAATGCAAGGAACCGATAAACAATATTTTTGCGTTCAATTAATTTGCTGGAAATGTTATGGCTGAGCTTGCTTTCCATGTTGCTACAATGGTGTAATAATTATGGTCAATTGGCTTGTTTCATTGTTTTGTAGGATTATTCATAATAATAAAAAAAAGGAAATCTTCCATTGTATAATTGCAAGGTTTGTAATAATGTGATTAAATTAGAGCTGATAATTGGCTAGGATTAGGTTTTGGTTAAAACCATTTTAATCCAAATGTGGTTAAGGGGGTGTGAGCTTGCACTCTAACATTCTTGTAAAGATGAGACGTGTGAGTGCTATGGGGAAATGCGATTGCTAAAGACAAATGTGTGTGTGTGTCTGCACGTGCGCAGCGAGGGTGCAGATAGCCCGTGCGCTGATGATCTGCTCCATCGTGGTGGGTCTCTTTGCGCTGGGAGTAAGTGCTGTCGGCATGAAGTGCACTCGCATGGGAGCTGACAACAAAGTCCGCAAGAACCGCATCGCCATCATCGGCGGAGTGGTGTTCCTCGTTGCCGGTACGTGTGTACATGGTGGTGTTTGGTTAGTTTGCATCATGTCTGGAAATATGTGGCTGTTTTGTCGAGGGATTCTTTCTTTTCTTGGGCGTGTGAATCCACGATTCAGCATCTGACACTAACTTTAGGTGGAATGACCGTGACTTGCTAATGTAATATATTGTACGGTTTATTGCTCCCATAGAACGGCATTTCCACAATCGAGTCCATGTATATTGCTTGTGTGTGCCCTGCCCGTAACGAACACGTATACAGTGAAACCTGGACATTGTTTTTGGTATTCTCTCGCTTCATACAATCAATTTCTAAACAATGACCAATGCTTCTAGCACAAAATATGCTCCTAACATTTTTCTTAATGTATCATTTAAAAATAGTTCCTCCCCATAAACTTTGCTGCAATGGCTTCCTAGGGTCAAAAAAAATATCCCATCGCTAATTCCATGCCTGAACTTCTTTTGCACCGTACATAGCCAACTGTGCTAATCAGAGGTGCGGGGGAAGGAGGGTCCTGCATGCACAAAACTATTTCATGACCTCCGTAGCACCCTCCATCAAAGCCTTTGTCAATGTTTCCATTTCCTCTGGCATTGTTATCCAGCCCCCCAAGACTCCTGCCATCACTTCCACCCAAAAAAACACCTCATTGCATCCCAACAACTCCATAAACTGCCATCCAATCTCCAGCCTCTGTTTTGTTGGGTCCTAGAAAGATGGTATATTTTCAAATACTTTTTCCCTCCATTCTTTATGACCCAGCCCAATCTTATTTTCACCAAAGCCATTCTACAGATACTGCCATCCTACGTGTGGTCAATGACCTCCCGACTTCAGACTCTATTTCTCTCTTTCCTTGTGCTCCTCGGCACAACCACTGTCAACACCATTTGACCCCTCTACCCTCTAGGGCTGCCTTCAATCTCTTGTAGGCATTTCTGGCAAACGCCTCTCCTGCTTCAGTTCCTACGTACTTTTTGTTTTTTTCGGTAAAGTCACGTAGGTAAAACATTCAATTAAATGTGTTACACTTAAGCGGTTGTGATTTTGCTATGTTGTCCCCTCCTGAAGGACGCTTGTGTTGCGCCTGAAACGTCGTGATTAAATTTAGTTGTTTTTCATTTTAATTTGTTTTATTTTTTACCTACGTGACTTTACCGAAAAAAAAACAAATAGTATGAATCCTTGCAGTCACGAAAGCTTCAAATCTAGAATGTTCCTACGTGTCCATTTCAAGGTTTTATACATTTCAAAACCCCATGTTGTGGTATTCAACCCTCAACCTTTCCTCTGCTGAATGTTCCACCTCCCCCCACTTGGCAAAAATATTGTCCAGCTTCAATAACTCTTTGCTAATGAAAGGCAGTTCTTATGTTCACACTCAACTTCACTGTCCACTCATTTTGATCCATTTTCATCTTGAATTTTTTCCAGTTAAACGTTCCTAAAATTGAGATCAAAGTTCAAGAGTTGTAAACCTTAGAGCAGTGGTTCTTAACTTTTACTGCAGCCTTGCACCCCTTGGGTTCCCAATTGTAAAAAAATATAATGTTAATAAATACATAGGGTTTGAAACAAAGTAGTTGTACTTACGTGCCCGTGCTTAATTTGTCGTATGATTTACCTTCTAAAACATCTGGCATGCCTTGCACCCCCAGAAAGGGCATATCACACCCCCACGGGATGAATGCACCCCAGGTTAAGAACCACTGTCTTAGAGCCATCATCAATCTTAAGTTCCTCCTTGCCTCCCACAGCTCTCAACTCTGCAGGACCTCATCTCAATCTGTTTAGCATATCCCATAGCCATAACTTTATCTACAAATCCACTGGCACTTATGTATTTCTTCATCACACACCTCAACTCTCACCTTTCACCTTTTTGGCAGTGACATGGTCTAGCGGGAGTGAAGATTCTGATGGCATTTGCAAGACTTAGGTCATTGTCTGCATCATGGTCAAATTCTGCCAAATTTGAAAACATTCATGCATATTACTCATTTGGGATTACACACAGCAACATTGCCCCCTGCTGTAAAACACTGCAGACTCTTAGGAAAAAGACGTACGTGGTAGCCTTGTATCATAGCTTGAGCCCTCCTGCCTGTGTGAGACACTGAGCCCAGCAGACAGAGCCTGTGCCACCGCTAGGTCTGACCCCTACTGAACTCCAGCCCTGTTAAGCCGAAGTGTGGGGCGATGCTCCTTCTGTCTCCACTGGCATCCCTGAGCCTCTTGCCATAACTTCCACCTCCCTGTAATCGCTCAATTATAGCTAATTTAAACATGCCAATGGCATCTAATCGATGTTGAACTTTGTCTCTTTCAACCAAAGTTAATTATATGCGCTGCACAGCATAAACAGTCAATCTAGCACGGGCGCAGTGAATTCAAGTGGTTCAAGTTGCGGAGTACATTTAGCCAATCATCCTTGTCGGGGTTAAAATAAGTAGTACTTTGTAGAAACACAACCAAGGACTAAAGAATAAACAATACCGTGGCCATTAGCAAAGAGGTAACATTTCAAACATTAAATATCTAAATGATTGTACTTGTGCTACTGTACTGCTCTTAACCTGAACCGAGGCGTGTGAGTGAGCCGTGTTCCTGTTTGCGTGTTTGCTTAGTGAGTGACTCATCCTCCCTACTTGCATGGGTTTTCCCCTCCCTAATCTCATGCGTTGTGCCCCACTTGCGCCTGTGCATGAGTTAGGGTGCTGCTGAGCTTCATGAGCTTTGTCTATTGAGAAACGTCGGCCTGTTGTATTGAACTGTATAATATGTCGACAGGTGCTAACCTCAACAGGGACACTCAATTGATTTTGACAACGTGGAAGTGTTGTGTAAAACTAGTTACTACTGGCAAAGACTAATTAGAGAATCGATTGAAATTGAGAGAAACAGAAATAACTTTAATCGCTCAGACAGCTATAGGCTTAGTGCGGCCTGGAAGCGTATTATTAAATAAGATACATTACAATTACTTATAAGGGAAACAACCACTAACTGATTACTAATGTAGCATAATCACAATAAAACACATTCCAAATGATTACTAATCTACAACTCGCATCGTAACAATAGCCTGATTATTAATCTAGTATATAATTACAATCACTCCCCCCTTGAATCTTTGCACCTGATGAGTTAATGAGTTAATGATGACGTCACCCTGCTGCTGCTCTATATAAGAACGGGAGACACAGGAGAGCCTCACCATTCTGGCGAATTGCCCGATGATGCTGATTGCAATTACCAGCGAAACGTCGTACTCAAATTGTAAATGTTGTTGCTTCAACACACCGGTGGGCTAAAGCAGTGAACTATTTGTCTTTGTCAACGTACATGAAGCTTTGACTCTTGTAAACATTGTTTTTTAGGAGTTGCGCTAATACCGCCAGTGTCACTTTAAATACGGCCCAGTGCTGTCTTATCAACTTCCTATAACAATGACGCAATTTTTCAGTTTATATTTTTAAACCCACCACAATTCTAGGTCGACTTTCATTTACGTGGTATGATAACAGAACAGCACATTAGAAACCAATGTGGCTGGGCATGGAGCTGGTCAAACTACTCTGGCCTGTGCCTAGGCAGCCTTATACATACACTTGCTAACCAGACTTGGCCAAATCGTGTTTAAGGTTAAATGTGGGGCTTTTTGTCGTATGTGCGCGTCGTGTTTTAGGGCTACTGTGTCTGACTGCCACGTCCTATTACGCTGCGGACATTGCCCGGGAGTTCTACAGCCCCAACACGCCTGTCCAGGCCAGGTGAGAGCCGGTTTCCACGTGCACGAGACAGCCACCTGCTGGGCAATAAGGTTACAAAAGTTTAGCGGCTAAACCAGGGCCTTTCTGCGATGGGTTGCCACCTTTTTGATTATTTTCGATTTGGTATTTCATGTTGCATATATACAATTCGAATGCATTGAAGCTTACTTTGTAAATTCCACGTCTCTTTTTCACAACCTACAAACTGAAATGTAGGCTGAAATTAGGCATTGTGTCAGCAGTGGTGTGAATGGGTGGTGTTTGGTGGTTGGTGTGGGGTATATTATTTGTGTGCTTTGGTTTTCTTAAATTGTTGCTTTTTGTGGTATTGAGTGATTTGTAGAGTAGAGTAGGGTTTCTCGAATGTCTTGTAAAAGTCAGCAAGGCCAGGATGATTTTAAGATATTAATATTTTTATTCTCTCGTTATTAGTGGTATTTGACTCATTCTATTACAATACTGTTTTACGTTATTTCAATTAACTGGCTGTATAATAATGTACATCGTATATCTTTTCAAAATCTAACTTTTTATTTCAATTATATTTATACTGCTAGCACTGAATCTTGACAACTTATTGAATAATCGCAAGTACTCTTGAACATTAGATTTCAAAAGCAGCACTTTTTTTGGAATAATTTCTAGTAAACCAACTGGGCGGATCACTGGCAGTGTGCCTGTCTCAAAATCACCAAGGTTGAGTTTGCATCCTGGTTGCTGGCAGATTGGCCCATCTCTACAAAATGAGTACCAATTGGGAGGGGCGTCGTTAGCTTTCCTCCAGGATTGCCTTCGGAGATCAGCTCCCACCCCACAGTTATTTTGATTGTGGAGTACAATTTTGACGTTTTACCTCATTTCCACGTTCCCAGTTCACTAAATGTGTGTGCCCCCCCCTTCTTTGTACATCATTGTTTAATGTGGGAGCTGTATGAATCCAAATTGTATTGGCAGCTCTTATTCTGGTCTAAAATAGATTCTAGCCAAAGTTGTAATGCTAATGTTTTGCACGAGGTGAAGCAAAGCCCCTCTTGCCTGTGTCAAAATCTCATAGTATCGCTTGCAAATTCTTAGTAATGGTCATTCGAGGTACCACAATTTGTAATCAGTTGGGATACTAACTGCACCCTTTTTTAATCCTGTGTCATCTGTAACCCTGTAATGGGAAGCCATGTTGTAAGTTTAAGGTTTTAGAACTGTTTTTGTGTTTAGTGTCTTTCCCTCAGACCTCCAATTAGCACGGTTAGCTAGGTACGGTGCGAAATAAGTGAATACATACAGGGCTGCCTATATAGTCCTTTGACAAGCGTGATTTCTTGTTGCAGGTATGAGTTTGGGCAGGCTCTCTTTGTGGGCTGGGCAGGCGCTTGCCTCGTGCTCATGGGCGGCGCCTTCCTGTGCTGCTCCTGCAACTCCAAGTCGTCGGGGAAGACGTCACGGCCGCGCGGCCCCCCGCGGCGCGGGCCCCCCAGTTCTACGGGCTCTGCCCAGAAGGAGTATGTGTGACGGGTGAAGTGTAGCAGACCGAACCAGCTGCTCGAGTGTTCGTTTTTTTATTTAGTAAAGTTCTTGTGTTTTTGAAGGAGTGTTTTGTTGAACCTTAATATGCGAATATTAAAAGATTTTTTTAAATTGCTATGTTGAGAACATCCCTGCGTTGTAGATTGAGTGTTTGGCACGACTATTTTGTGGTTGTTAACAAATCGTACATCAAAATTTTATGAAATTGGCTGAAAGTGCAGTATGCTAAATACAACTTGTGGACTAATGTATTTTTTTTATCATAAATTTGCTCGTGCATCTATGGCTTGATTATTTGTATGAAGTGGTTGTAAATACTTGTTCTGGCAGGTGTGCGTGCTTTGATGTGGGCCCCATGCACAGTGCCTTTCTGCGTGTAATGCCGAGTGTACAATCCACCAAAAAAACGTTACTAAATGTTTTTTTTAAAGATGTATTTAAACACTTTTAGCATATGTATCCAATGAATAGTGATGTATGAAGGGGTTGTGTGTGGTTGTGTATCGTTATAATATTGCAGTTCACTATTCCGAGCATAAACATCCGAGTCGTGTGGTAACTTCACGATGACCTTTTATAAGACCAAATACTTCAATGAATAAAGTTTACTTGTGTGCCGAACCTGAAGGTTTCCCCAACATGGCTTCTGGTCCTGCATACTTAGCCAAGCAAAGTGCACACTTTCATTCATGCCACCATTTCTTACAGAATTATCACATCTTGAACTTTAACCCTTCATTTGTGCTAGTCTTGGCTTTACGATTTGGTTAAATCAGAACTAAATGGCCATACATGTTGTGCTGTGTGACATGCTTACACTTAAATTGACAAGGATTTAATTATGTATTTTAAATTTTAATAGTTTTTTACTTAAGTATTTTTTATCGGTGTTTGATTGGAAGAGCCTTGTTAGGCTACACAGATGTTTTGCACTGTGCAAAGCAATACCTGCAACCATTTAAAGTAGCATACTATTTGGGGTTGTCTTAATTGCATTATGGGGTATAGGTGATGAATTGTATTACTTTTGCATATTTTGTTGATCTGTTGGGTAATAAAGTTGCACAAACAAACTGTATTTGTATTTTATTTACCTGTTTTTTTCTTTTCCATACGTGTCTATTAATGAGTAGAATAACCCAACTGTAAAATGAGTCCTCTATTTTGTCATGGAAAATTTTTTAATTGAAAATTCTTAACATTCTAAATTGTTGACAGACTTTATTTGACTTAAAATTACCAAAAGCTGGCATGGTCGTTGATCAGAGCAGAAAACTGGCACTGCTGAGATTTTGGGTTAGAATCCAGGCAATTTCCTGTGAATAACCCAGGTTGTCAAATGAATGTAATACGTTGATGGTCTTGGCAATACATTAAAATACATTTTATTTGATTGTGAAAAATTTAGCAAAGTTCAACCTCTGAAAACAACAAAATATTGTATTTATTATGCGATGGAATTTCTTTTTTGGAGGGGTCTTGGGAATTTCCTGCTCCCTTGTGTGTATATGACATCACTTGAAGGGATTTTAGAAGCACACAGTGCTGTCCAGGTCCTTGATGAATAATTATTCGTCTCATGACACGATAGCAAATGGGGGTGCAGGACGGGGGAGGTAATTCATATTTCGGAAACTTGGAACAATGTGGGGGAAATGGATACCCCCGCATGTTTAAGATATCGACACAAGCCCTGGTCCGCTCCACCGTGGCGTCCTGTGCCCCAGTGTGGAGTGCGAGCTCTCTCGCAAACCTTGTTGATAACGAAATTGACACCGCACTTTATCTTGGGCGGCACCCTGAAGTCTTCTTTCACTCCTTGGCTTCCTGTGCTGGCGAGCATCACCTCGGCCAACATTCAATGCAATGGAAGGTGATGGAAAACGTAGTTCTGCCGCTCCAATATCTAAGAGAATCCCCGTGTCATTGAAATTTTGGATATATTTATGGATACCCATCTACTGCCTCTGGATTGGTTGTAAAAACCTAACATTGAATTATAAATACTGTATTTAAAAACTGTTTATTTTCCTTCCTACGTAGGACAGACTATCCAATTGCATTCTCATGTTTCTGATGGCTTTTGTTATGAAGTGACGGTGCATCACATGGGGTAACTGATTACTAACGGATATAATTACAATAACACTACAACCAATTACTAATCTACAACTCATTACTAATCTGACACAATTGACTGATTACTAATCTATTATATAATTACAATAACACCCCGCTCCGCCTCAAATCGCTGCACCTGAATGAGTTAAATAATGACGTCACCCTGCTGCTCTATTTCAGACCGAGAAGCAGGTGGAGGGCTTCACTATTCTGGCAAATTGGCCGATTGCTGGATGTTAATTACCAGCGAAACGTCGTAGTCAAAGATTGGAAATGTTGTGGATTCACTCTTCAACACATCGGTGGCTAAAGTAGTGAACTATTTGTCTTTTGTCAACGTGACACTTTTACTGATTGGCCGTGTTGGGTTGTGGAGAGTTAAGACACATTTATAAATAACGCGATCTAACCCAAAAACGTTTATAATGAGAGATATCTGATAGTTTCAATACAATGTTAATGTATAAATAACTGCGTTAACCACGGATAGAGAGCCCTGGTGGTCGAGTTGCTTTACCCATCATCATCACCATCTCTCTGGGGACGTAAATTATCGGCCTGTTGGAAAAATCTCAAGTAATTATCCAATTGACGGTGACACTTAAAAGTGAGCTACAGTGGAAGTTCAACTACAATTCGGGTAGCACGTGATCGGCAGTGGAGAGGGCCCCTCCGTTACTTTGTATGTGTTGCCATTGTTGGAATGAGGCCACCTGGGACCAGTGGTCCTGGCCACCCGTATCCTTTGTAAGCTGTGAGCAGCGGCTGCCAATGTTCGCCCCCACCCGCCCCTGTGCCCCGCGCTGAGGAAAGGCCAAACAAAAGGCAGAAACTGCCCAGATGGTCATGTGGATAGGAAGCCTTTTAAGAATGGGAAACGGAGCAACGGGGAGTTCATTTGTGTGGAGGAACTGTGTGCCACCCACTGCGTTCCCGTTGTATCCCGTGAGACAACGCGTACACTACATTCTCACTCCAGAGATATTCACCGTCTGCAATGAAGTAGATTTGTCCGCCCTACGTGTGCCCCATAACTAACCCGATATTTTGAGAGGCAATAAAATCACACCACAGTACTGTGGTATTGTTATATGTTATACTGTTCAAAGTAAAATGACAATTACTACATTGGACCTTTTTTGCCAATATCAAAGAAAAAATAAGACTAGGTTTTACCCTCTGGCGATAAAACAGGTGTTAAGATTTTAACTTAAAGCTTTCGTGACTGCAGTAATTCATATGCTTTGGGTCTTTAGGTAAAGCCACGTAGATAGAAAAAAGAATAAAACTATCACGACGTTTCGATTGCAACACAAGCAATCATCAGGTGAAAAAATAGTGAGAGCTGCTGAGGAAAGGATGTTGTGATTTTTTTTTCTATCTACGTGGCTTTACCGAAGGACCTAAACAATTGATGTTAAGATCATGGGACCTCCTTTGCCAGTACCAAAATATGAGAATAGATTTTACCCTTTTTTCTGGCAACAAAACAGGTGTTAAGATGTTAAAACGCCAAACTGAAACCTTTTACAAGGAATCATGTGGTTAATGCAGACATGATTCCTTGTAAAAGGTTTCAGTTTGGTGTTTTAACATCTTAACACCTGTTTTGTTGCCATAAAAAAGGGGAAAACCTATTCTCAGGTGTTAAGATATTCAAACACCAAATATAAACCTTTTGCAAGGAATCATGTCTGCATTAACCACACGTACTTGTGGTGAACATGCAAACAAAACATTATACTCTTTGGTTATTTCGGTAAAGTCACGTAGGTAAAAATAAAAATCGCGACGTTTCGATCGCAGCCTACGTGACTTTACCGAAAGAACCAAAGAGGATGGATTCCTGCAGTCACGAAAAAAACTTCAAATCAAAACAAAACATTATCTGATAATACATGGCATTGTCCGTGAAACTGATTGTCGACCTTGTCTCACCAGTGTCAGACCAGATAATTTCTTTGTGCTATTCGCCTTTTGGAAGTTCTCTGCTCTGACACGAGTGAGACAAGGCCCGAAGAAGGCTGTCTCTGGTGTAGTTTAAAAAACAATGAAATATTTCGATTTAAAGCTTTCGTGACTGCAGGGATTCATCTTCTTGGTTCTTTCGGTAAAGTCACTTAGAAGGGAAGTAGTAAAATAATAAAAATAAAACATAATAAAATAATTCTGACGACGTTTCGGCCACAACGCAAGCAGCCGTCCTCGTCTGAAACCAGGTCTGTCGAGGCGACAGAGTCTGAATTCAGACGGCTGCTTGCGTTGTGGCCGAAACGTCGTGAGAATTATTTTATTATGTTTTATTTTTATTATTTATTACTTCCCTTCTACGTGACTTTACCGAAAGAACCAAGAAGACAATGAAATATATTATTGGAGCGTGGAAACCTTAAAAAACGTGTTATGGCGTAGTCCTCTCGGAATGACGTTTAAATTACGTGGTGATATGACCAGGTTGTATTAAGCCTAGTGCCATGCATTAATATTCAGGTTCAAGTTTGTTTTGTTTAACCAGGTGAGAACTCAAAAAGACAAGGATGGTCTAGCAAAAAATTGAGTCACTAAAAATAGCAAAATAACAGTAAAAAGTACAAGCAAACACAAAATCTCAGCAAACACAGCCACTTTAGCAGAAGAAATGAACAAAATGTGCACGAACAAAATAATGTCCTAATGGTTTGGGAAAATTACTTTAAAAAATTATTCAGAAAGTTAAATGACGTTACACAAACCAATGTGGATTTTGTGCAATTATTGCACTCGCATGTAAACAGACAATAATGTGTCATTATTTAGTGATGTTGCTGTACAAGCACAAATGATAACACATTAGTTAACACGCTGCCTTGAAAAAGAATGAAGGATGGAGAAGCTTACATTTTGTAAAAAAAATTAATGATTGTTATTTAACACTTTGATTCTAATGATTCTACCAGGGCTTTTCATTCTGTGAAATGAATATGTGATTGTTATAATTGTACTCTCCATTTTGCTTCGTTCTACTAAAAAGTTTCAAGTATTTTTTTATAGTTATAATTTCTTTTAATATTTTATAATTATAAGAGAATTTCAATATAATATTCTGAACATCTGCAGTTTTAGTTAGACGTTGAATATTTTCAAGTTAATTTTATGCTAAATTTCAGCTTTCTAACGCCTCCTTTTTAATAAATGTTTTCTCCTACAACATCAGAGTGCAGCGCCACATTAAATACGCACTACAATGACAACAGTTTAAAGTGATTTGAAACATGTTTTATTTTCAAAATGGAAATATGGTTTTGTGTTGGGGGAGGGGCAGAGCTTTGTGACGTCATTTTTGACGGGGGGGGGGGTCTGACTTTTTGTGACGCCGTGTGACGAGGGGGGGATGGGGGTCAAAAATCGGGCAAAATAGCGTGACGTCATTTATGGACGGCCCCTTGAGTCAACGCACATTATGCATGCGCATTATGCGGGCCCTTTGATCTTGTCCTTCCTGTCCATTGTGTGTATTAAAATAGCGGTACCAACGGTAATCCCTATTGAAGTATGGTGCCCTGTATAAGGCACGCATTTAAACAATGTATTATAATGTATTATTTGACGATTCGCTTTCAAGCAGCACTGAGTCGGTGGCTATCCGAACGGTTAAAATTATTTGTATTTTTTTTTAATTTCGATAGATTATCTAATTAGTCTTGGCCAGTTGTAGAATACATATTTTTACAACGTCGTGTGACGTCATTCGCGCCAGGTAACGGAGTGACGTCACGGCGCCAGACAATGCCCCCTCCCCGCGCGTGACGCGCTACCCGCAGTAGGGTGAGCTAAACAGTGACGTCACATCCGCGACAGGTGATAACGGAAGTGACGTCGTCTCCAACCAGGTGAGCGACAAAGAGGTGAGGGCGCGAGAAGCGAGGACGAGGGGAGGTGGAGGTGAGGGTGAAGAGGGCGAGGTGAGGTGAGGGCGAGAGGTGAGGTGAGATGAGGGAGAGGTGAGGTGAGATGAGGGGGAGATGAGGTGACGGGGGAGGTGAGAGGTGATTGCCGGTGAGAGCGCGGGGAGGAGAGGTGAGGGGGAGGATAGGTGAGGGGGAGGAGAGGTGAGGGTGAGGTGAGTGTGAGGTGAGGTGAGTGTGAGGAGGGCGAGGTGAGGTGAGGGGTGATTGCCGGTGAGAGCGAGGAGAGGTGAGGGCGAGGTGAGGTGAGGGGGAGGTGAGAGCGAGGAGAGGGCTGATTGCCGGTAAGGGCGAGGGGAGGGTGAGGTGAGGGGAGCGCGTGGGGAGGTGAGGGCGAGGTGAAGTGAGGGCGAGGTGAAGTGAGGGCGAGGTGAAGTGAGGGCGAGGTGAAGTGAGGGCGAGGTGAAGTGAGTGCGAGGGGAGGTGAGGGGTGATTGCCTGTGAGAGCGGTGGGAGAAGAGATGAGGGGGAGGAGAGGTGAGGTGAGGGGGAGGCGAGGTGAGGGTGAGGGGAAGTGAGGGGGGGGGGTGAGGTGAGAGCGAGGAGAGGTGAGGTGAGGGCGAGAGGTGAGGGGGAGGTGTGAGGTGATTGCCGGTGAGGGCGAGGTGAGGCCGAGGGCGAGGTGAGGGCGAGAGGTGAGGTGAGATGAGGGAGAGGTGAGGTGAGATGAGGGGGAGGAGAGGTGAGGTGAGGGGGAGGCGAGGTGAGGGTGAGGGGAAGTGAGGGGGGGGGTGAGGTGAGGGCGAGGTGAGGGGTGGGTGAGGAGAGGTGAGGTGAGGGCGAGAGGTGAGGGGGAGGTGTGAGGTGATTGCCGGTGAGGGCGAGGTGAGGTGAGCGCGAGGGGCGCCGTGGAGAAACGCGCTGTGCCCGGTGTCGCTTGGTTCGCGCGGGAAGGACCGGGTGGGGGAGGGGGGCGGAAAGATCACAACCTCAACCCTAACCCGTCTATAAACACAAACCCTAACCTCGTCTGTAATCACAAACCTTACCTAACCAGTCTATAACCTTAACCTAACCCGTCTATAATCACAACCCTAACCCCGTCTATAGACACAACCCTGACTCTAACCGCAACTATAACCAAAACTGTACAGTAACTCTAACTCCATCATGTCTAACCCCGTCTAGCCTCAACTGGTCTAGCCTCAACTGTAAATATGTAACACTAACCTTAACCCCCACTCAAACCCAACTCTAACCACAACCCCAACCAGAGCCTCAACAATAACCCCACAAAACCCAACCCTAATCCTAACCCAAACCACCAACCCGGATCCCCACCCAAAACCTACACATAACCCAAACCAATGCAACCCCATCTATACATCACATCTATCTATTTACCTTCTGTTAATGACAACATATATGTCCAACTGCCTGTTTTACACTCACCTATCTGACTAAACATCACATCTGATAACCCAATGAAGGCACACAGCACCTGTCCGACTGCATGTGACACCTTTAGGGCACAGGGAACCACACCCAACAACACCCCATCCTCACTGGGTACAGCTGCTGTGCAGCTAACCACTGCTATATCTACACTTTGTCTCACCTAACCTGTCCGCGTGATCCTCATGCGTTTTTCGCATTGTCTCCCACAGCTCTCCTTTAACGAAAATCAAAATTATCCTCAGGAGAGAGACGCTGTGGTATTAGACAAGAAGGGGAAAGTAGGCATTAACGAGTTCTAAAGGGAAGTTTCAAGCGAGGCGAGGATGGCCAACTCGGGACTGCAGTTGCTGGGCTACGCGCTGGGGATGTGCGGATGGATCGCCACCATCGCCGCCACGGGGCTACCGCAGTGGAGGACGAGTGCCTACGCCGGCGAGGTCATCATCACGGCCGTGAGCATCTACGAGGGGCTCTTCATGAGCTGTGCCTCGCAGAGCACGGGCCAGATCCAGTGCAAGATATTTGACTCCCTCCTCGCGCTGCCCAGTGAGTGCTCGCACAATAAAGACGAATATTCCCCATTAGCCTGAACAGATTGTTGCGGCAAATTTTATAAGAGAACACCTGTAAAGGCAATACAGCACACAAGGAGGTGGTGTGGCCAGCACCACCATGGCCCCACCACCGTTGTCCCAGATAGTGACTTGAAATACCACACCAGGTATTCAGTTTGGGCTTAGTTCATCTAGATAAGGCCCAGGACTGATTCAGATATTGATGCTGGCTGTGACCGGTAATCAAACTCGGATTCCTCAGTTCGTAGCGTATTGCGATAACCATGACACTACCACTCTCCACATGCGCACACCCACCTTGTGTGGTGTCCAGCGCTCTGTGGTGGTGATGATGTCACCAACAATTGCGTCCAATGACTCCTGTGAGCACGCAGGCCATTTGATGCCTAGTTGTACTTCCATGTGTGTCATTGTTTTTTTAAATTTTGGTGACCTAGGTCACTCTTGCAAAAGAGACAATCCTGCTCTCTTGAGTTCTTCTGGTTAAACAAACGAGGTAATATGTGTAAAGGGTGAATTATTTTGGCACAATAATTTCTTGTCACCTTGTGGGTGCATGTTAACTAGGGTTGTCACAATGTATTGCTGCCTTACCATGATGTTTTGGTCAGGGGGGCTGTTTACCATACTTCAAGCCTGGTCAGCACAGGGCCTAGGAGGGGTTAATATATCAAACACGGTTGATGTTAGCCATGGCTGCAAATTGTACTTGGGCCTGGTTCCATAGCACAGTACACTTACCACTGCATCACCATGCCTTCACTAATCCTTGTATAAAAATGGTTTAATGTTTGTGTGTGCAGCAAGGGTGCAGATAACCCGTGCGCTGATGATCTGCTCCATCGTGGTGGGTCTCTCTGCGCTGGGAGTAAGTGCCGTCGGCATGAAGTGCACTCGCATGGGAGCGGACAACAAAACCCGCAAGAACCGCTTCGCCATCTTGGGCGGAGTGGTATTCCTCGTTGCCGGTGTGTGCTCACATGTCATGCGTAACGCTGCAGGTCTCCCTTGCAAATGAGGTGCATTGTTTTAATGGGTTTCTTGACAAAAAAAGGAAACAATTGCGAATTGTTCGTGCTTCCCTCAGCCACATGGGAAATGATACAGGCCAAAAGGTCAGCTTGGCTACTGTTTTCATTTATCATATCATTAGTGGGTGTGTTCCTGCTCTTAGAAGGGAAATCCTTTTTCCACACCCTAACAGGTTACCTTAACAAGATGGCACTAGTTTAATCTGCAATTATGTTAAAGATAAGTAGAAATGTATGCAGTCCATGTGTATACATTATATATTTGAATGCATATAGACATACCGACTACCAATAATGAGCTGTTTATTGTTGAAAATGAATGGATGATTTTTAAAAAGTCCATAAAGCCACCGGAAAATGTGTTCACTAAAGATTATGTGAGTTTCTCAAACTTCCAGGGCGGCATGAATTTTAGGATCCACGGATTATTGGAGGCATCTTTTTTTAGTTCTGTATATGGAACATTATTTTTACCCATGTAATGCAATGATGCCCTTATATTTCATGGCACTCAAAATGTATGAACAGTAAGGTATAATTTTGCTTTTAATTATGTTACATGGTAATTAAATTGTCCAACTGATTTAAAAATTATGTAATGCTGTATCTGCTGTTTTGTAGACGCATGGCTCTAGTTCATTGATTTATAAAAAAAATATTTTTATTATAACAGACCTCTGCTCATGTGTGAATGTGCGTGTGTACTCGTGTGTTTTAGGGCTGTTGTGTCTGACTGGCACGTCTTACTATGCTGCGGAAATTGCGCGGGAGTTCTACAGCCCCTTGACACCTGTACAGGCCAGGTGAGTGTGTGCTGTGCCACACATATAGCTGCTCCATAAACCAGGATAAAAATGTTCGCTTGTGTTACCCACTTTTTGCTGCTACACAATCCATGCCACTCAGTGTTTAATGGCTATTTCCCAAAATATAGCCTATTGTATATTTTTGCCTATTATATATTTTTTAAACTTATGTTGAATTTTTTTTGCAACGTACATAGCCAAACGTGCTAAATCGTCTTTAAATAATGAAAAAAAAAAGATTCTGAACTAGTTTAGATACATTTTACCAGCTAACATTTTTAAGCTACCTCTGTCATGCCTTGATGCACATACGTGTGTGTGAATTCTTGTTCCAGGTATGAGTTTGGTCAGGCTCTGTTTGTGGGCTGGGTTGGCGCTTGCCTCGTGCTCATGGGCGGCGCCTTCCTGTGCTGCTCCTGCAGCTCCAAGCCTTCGGGGAAAAAGTCGCGGCCACGCGGCCCCCCACGGCGCGGGCCCCCCAGATCAAAGGGCTCTGGCAGGACAGATTATGTGTGACGTGAGGTGTGAGTGGGTGATGAGAGTGGCATGCTCCCAGCTACTCGGACATGCTTAGTTATTTTATGCATCATGCTTTTTTAAAAGTGCGTTTGGACGTTCATTTATAAGTTGCAATTAGTTAAATGCATGCAAATTTCCCAATAATGTTCATATGTAATCACGATTCTGACGTGATTGAGTTTTAGTTGGACTGTAGGTAGGTTCTGTTGATAGAAAGCACGTTATGCACAATTTATGCGAGTACGCTTTAGACAGTACCACATTCGCACACGTGAGCCTGGAGGCAGTAGTATAGGAATAAGGCGTTATCATTCAATTGATGTATTCATGATAATTGTTTTTTTGCCCTTTTATCTGGCAACAAAACTGACACCTTTTTTTACAGGGAGTCATGTTTGCATAGACCACAATACCTGCAGTCATAATGCAAACAAAAAACATAACTCTGATAATGTATGCACTGTCCTTGAAGTTGATTGGTCCACACCCGAGAGACAGCTTTCCTTAGAGCCTAGTCTCACATGGTGTTGGACCAGATGACGCCAAAAGGCCTAGTCTCACATGGTGTTGGACCAGATGACGCCAAAAGGCGTCATATGGTCCAACACCATGTGAGACTAGGCTCTAAGGAAAGCTGTCTCGGGTGTGGACCAATCAACTTCAAGGACAGTGCATACATTATCAGAGTTATGTTTTTTGTTTGCATTATGACTGCAGGTATTGTGGTCTATGCAAACATGACTCCTTGTAAACAAAGGTGTCAGTTTTGTTGCCAGATATAAGGGCAAAAAAACAATTATCATATTTTTTCTTCTGGCAAATGAGGTTCCAATGGTGATGTATTCATGTTTATTAGTTATTCATTTAGGTCTGATTGTTGTTCTGGCAAAAATATGTCAGTAATTGGTGAAAAAGTGGCCGGGTGTCCATGACTAGTCACAGATTGGGCCATTGCTAGCAAAAATCTGCAGAAAATTCCACTAACACTTTTGAATCAGATTATTCATTAACAAATCAACTGCTTAGCCAATGCATAATATTAAAGTTAATGATTTTCACTGAAGATTTATCATAAGCTTGCTTCTTGTGCAAGCAATTTTAATTATTAGGCATGTGAAATGCTCATAAAGAATTGATATGGAAAGTTACTGGAGACAATGGAAGACAACACCCGAATAAACATTACTCAGTACTATTATATTACATTGGAAAGACAATATCGATCCACAGTATAGCAGCAGTTGATATTTTCTTCTAAAAGTAAATGGAAATTCACTCAAATTCCGGCTACGGGCCACAGCTGCATATAGTTTTCAAATGCTTCTGTATTTGGCGAGTGCTTTTGTCGCATATGCAGACACTTCTGTCATGCACTGTGCATTTTTAACACAGACAGTTTTACTATGGCGCCAACGTGACTGACACTACTGTAGGGGGCTATTATAGTAGTGTGCTTGGAAATAATGTGGGCACGATACCTCAAAAGTTATGTAACTTTACATTTCAGTTTATTTTCTCATGAATGGAGCCTTATACTTTTGTCAGACGGCTTGGACCACAGAGCCTAAATGCGTTAAAAAGCAGTTGTTTCGTTGGATTGCGAAGTCTTCCATTAAGATGGGCTGACGTCTTATTTCCTAATGCCTTGGTGTCGCATACTTGCAGGCGTGAAATGTGAAAAATAACCATGCTATAATTCGGCATATGCATTTTTTATTTATTATTCCACAACGAGGTATGCTCTATAATAAATTTCAGCCGTGCAAGTTCACTGCTCGATGAAGGCCTCCCCATTCCGCGTTGATCAGGGAGGCTGTTTGATCATACTTCGCAATACTTTTCAGTATGGATTGCTGAAGAGGAGTTTCCAGGTCTGGTTCAGATATCACTCCCTGATGTTAGCCATGACCAGGAATAGAATTTTGGTAACCGGGTTCTGAGGAGTCCGCTAACCACTCTGCCACCGCTCCCTTTGTTATACAATGTAAATTATCACATTTAATTTTTTAAGGGTTTATCGTAAAGTATATATGAAATTGTAAATGCTTGAAAAAAAATTCATTACAATCTAGAAATGTGGATTTACAACCAATGGATTTGCTGAAAAATCACTGCTCATTTTCAGTGTAAACATTAAGAAAATAGCAATTTTTCCAAGCATTTTAATTGAAATATATATATTTCGCAATTGTTCACTGTATCCCATTTTGCTATATCAGATTCATAGCAGGATGGGGGGAAAAATCACATTCATAGCTGGACTTGAAGCCACATCATGGAATAGTCCCAAATATGACACCACATAACTTATTTCTGGTCAATTCAATAGGGTCCTCTTCTCAATACTAGATGGGGCACCTTAATGTTCTATAATGCACGGTTCATCACATTTATAAGTAAAAAAGCCAGTGTCTCCCTGCTCAAATTATCAATGGGGGTGGCAGTCGTGCTGGTGAGGGAACTGCATTACCATGGTTGGCGCCAGTTGCACCTAGAAAGCCCAATGTTCACATTCCTCAAAGTGTCATATTTTATCTGCCACATTGGGGTTTATGGATTGAGTAGGTCCCTGACCAGAATTGATCTTACAACCTTTGGATTGTGAGTTAAGCAGTCTAACGACAGCATCATTCAATATTTACTTACAAACATGATCCTTTACAGCCAAGCGAAGCTAATAATTATTGTCGTTTGTTGTGCAGACACTGGTGATCATGTTGAGAGCATTGTGCTATACTTCAGACCTTGTTTGATCACAGGCGGCTGCCCAGATAGACACCCGGGACTTTAGTTGGTGCCAGCTCGGTGCTCTGATGCAGCTATGATGATCTTCATAAGATGCCCGGCCATTTAAAATGTCAGGAGAGTTAACAAAATCACGACCTCTCCATTTTTTTTATTGATAAACACTTTTTCTCCCCACAGTTATGTAAGTGATGTAGAATAGCGAATGTTTAAAAAATAAGAGTAAATGCATGTTTTATACCCTCTATGATGCATATATTTTGTACTGACTAAACTCACGTGAGCCAATTGAATGTCTTGATTTGTTTTAAAATGATTTGTGAATTAGATTTTTTATAGTTTATTTTTGTTTGTGGTGATTAATTAAATTCTGAAATTAATCAAATATTGTTATGCTTCATATTTTTTGGCTTTCATTTCACACTCTTGAATTCACTATGGCTAGAGACTGCAGAGCCACGTTTCATAGAATGACTCGTTTGTCAAGTTTTCACATGGGATCCAAAGTTTCCGAAGGCTTGTGAACAATTCTAGACAGTCTGGTGCATGGGCTGTAATATCATGTTTGTATTTGTATCATGTGTTATACATAAAATGCTGTGTTCACATGCCTCGGTCGTTTGTGGGTATCTCAGCGATGAGGCAAATCAACTCCTACATGAACAGTAGGTTGTAAGGGTTTATCGTTAAGTGTCTATGAAATGAAGCACTGTTTTCAATTTTCAAAGGATTGAGGTATTGTTGCTAAGATAATAAGGGACAGCCTCCATAAAATCGGTGTGTTCTGCATTGATAGAATGCATTTTGTCTTCATATGAAGACAATTCTTTAAAATGTCCTCGTGTCTTAGGGTTCTAGTGTAGGCTGCAATATCCAACTACAAGTCAGTAAATATATCTTGCTGACCACCGAAAATGTCAGTCTGTTATACTGTGCTGTTATAAAGCAGTATGTTTGATAAAGTAGGTGAGTGTTTTTATGCTCGTGCATCACTGCCTCTTCTGTTCCTCAACTTGTTTCCATAAATCCAAAATAACATCATCTGGGGCAAAACGATAATCTCGTGTTCTGGCTCGTGGCACTGGTACTGGGTATTTTGGGAGAGGTTTCTGTGTAGGTACATGGCTGTAATATTTATCACAAGTCAATCACGAGCAATCATTAATCAGAAGCAATATGTGTTCGTATGACTCAAAACAGTGCTTGATTACATGTAATCTCCACACTTGTAATTTTGCCTGACATTTAATCAGTACTCAAGTGCATGTTGCCAAAACCGTGTATTCCACCTCATGAAGTGTTTTTTTTTAAGTTATTAAAAGCAATCCTGTTTCTATGTAACATGTAAGGTAAAACTTTGTGAGATATCTTTGTTCTCCAATTGAAAAAGGTATTCTTGGTTCTTTCGGTAAAGTCATTTAAATAGAAGAAGACCGCTTGTGGTGCGATCGAAACGTCGTGGGTTTTTTGCTTGTATTTTATTTGTTAATTTAATTTTATTATTTTTATTTTCTATCTACGTGACTTTACCGAAAGAACCAAGAATATGAATTCCTGCAGTCACGAAAGTTTTAAGTAAAAAAAAGAAAAAAAGGTCTTACCAAACATTACCAATGTAAAGATATAGGTATTAGGGAAATGGATCTACAATCTCTACAGCATCCAAAACATCCATGTTAAACGTGTAATACATGTAATAAACTTTATGCAAATCTGTTAGTCGCAGCATTTGCTCAAGTTATTTTCATTGTAAAGTGAAGTGAAGCCCCTTTCTGACCTATACAAATCAGGGACGCATGGTATTGATGCCCTCAAAATGTTTGGCAGATTAAGGTAACCCTAATTGAGATCATGAGGCAGAAATAATGAGTCGAGTGCCCTGCTGAGTAAGCTGCCCTTGCATTGTATACTGGTTTAGTTTAATACATATCTATATGTGATGTTCTGGTCAAGTAAAAAATACAGGGGGGAAAAAAACGTTATCTGTACCCAATTCTAGAACAGAAAGGCAACTGTTGAGTAAGGTGATTTAAATGGACTGCACTGTCATCCTAACTTCCTATGGAGAAATGCACGTGACCATGACTTTACGAAGGTGAACATAACACAAGACCTTGCCCCATCAACTTTGTCTGCAAGGCCTTATTCACATATTAAATTCATTTTCTTAAGCACACACATTGAACGTGTACACTGTTTCCTTCACACCGTGGTGGAGTTATCGTGTTTGTCTTCATTTTCCACCTTGGGCTTTCGGCACAGATTGAACACGTGGCCACCGTAGTAAACGTGCGTTGTCATCAGCATGTTTGAGGTTGTGTCGGTGTCATCCCTGTCTTTGCCCTCCGCCTCCTGCTCTGGAGACGGCGTGAGCGTAATGACAAACACGGCCATGTTGGGCATGCTTCTTTTTGATGGTGGAAGTGGCTGGGCCTCCGGGAAAGGGTGATGGTGGTGGCCCTCTGAGGATGTCATCAGCTCCAAGTGCTCCTCCTCGTGCGTCTCGCGCAACATGCCATGAAGACGCGCTGCATTCACAACAACGACACAAACACGTCTCGATGAAAGCGAGCTTCAGGAAAATGGAAACATTAACTTATAATTATTATTCCGCTTGTTTATCTCGGAAAGCCTGAGTCTTGTGACCTTTTCAGTAGGCTCCTGCCAATTAGTAGGGGGCGATTATTTTGTGTATATAACT